TTTATAACTTTTCCAATATGGAAACAAAGGTGGCATGCTGCGTTATTTCTAAGCGAGAAAATGAATATTTTCTACCTCCTTGCCACCTGGCTGATATACTTGGTGATTTAGCAAAAATATACCTACTGTATACTTCTACGCCTGAATAATAAATTTCAGCTCATTAGTGCAACAAGACATCTAGTTAGAATAACTTTAAACGTAATCAGAGACAAGAGCAGGTATCTTGTTCAGAACAAATTATAATGTCAAATAATTTTACTCAATTTGGTGCGGATCGTCTTGATTGATGCATGAAATAAACCTACCGCGCATATCTTTTCATGAAAATTAATTTTGAAGAATTCCAATTTGATATGAGCTTTGGTTGTTGCACCCAGGGTCCCTTGATACAAACTGACATATTTGTCATTTAACAGGGTACGGACAGATCATAGCTCCTTCCCAGCGAGCACAAACATCCCTGGGATGTTTTGGGATGTCTTGAAAATGTTGGCATGAAGATTTTATTTTGAGACGTTATATGCACTGACCAAGGAGGTCTTTGAAGGATATTGAAGTATTGTTTTTGTTCTTCTGTGGCATTTCTTTGTTTGCCTACTGAGGGGTATCCCTGGGATGTTTTGTGATGTTTTAGAAATGTAGGCATGAGGATGTTTTTTTTTAAGGCGTAATATGCACTTCCCAAAGGGGTCTCAGAAGGATATTGAAAGTATTGTTTTTGTTCTTTTGTGACATTTCTTTGTTTGCCCCACCACCAACGTCTCATGCTTACGTCACAATACGATGAATTCTGATTTGTTTCCGATGTTGTTCTTCTTGTTCGCAATTGGCATTCGCGTTTGCAGCGTGTCACGCTTACATCACGCTGCTAACGAACAGAAAGGAATTTGGTGAAGTTTATTGTGTTAGAACTCTTATTTAGTTTGTAATAATGACCATCAGATGCAAGATGTGTTGTTCGGTGCCTCAGTGTAATTAATATAAATAAAAGTACGAATTCATCAATACACAGCTTCTCCACAGTTGCAAAATTATGCATTGTGGAGAACATTTCAAAAATTGGGGAACCTATTTCCAATTATATGTCTGTCTGTAGTTAAGCACTACTCAGAAACCGATTAAGAAGGTAATTTCATATCAAGAAAATATTTTTATGTTCAATCTATTTTTAATGCATTTTTTCATTCATGGGAAATGGAATCCTAATGCAAAAGTTCATTTTGACAAAAGGCTTCAGAAAAGTACCTCGAAAATGTTTTTTTTACAGCGATTTAATGAGCGCAAGACGCGTTGAAAATGTTCTGTTGTGTCCATGAAAAGGCTTTGAAAAGAACTAGGGAGAAGGTAGTTTTGTGACATATCAAGGACATCTCGATAATTGCCGCCTGCGGCGGACATTGGCTGTTCTATAATAGTTCTATTCATGTGTGAACAGAACATCGCAGTGGAGGTTCAATGTCTCGAAATCTCGTACTTTTAACATCTCTGAGATGTTTTTGTGCTCGCTGGGTAAGAACAGTCTCATTTGGTAAAACGTATTGAACTTTCAGAAAAAATTGCTCACTGGCTCACAAAGATTATGCTGGAGTTGAAAAATCAAAAACTCGAAAATTATCATCATCATTTGGATATAATATGTAGAGTTGAATGAGAAATCACATGTGAAAATTACGTATGATACGCCAATGTCCTCAATATAACCTAAAAAACAACAAATGTCAGAAATCTAGTGTTTGTCCCCAGAAATGAATAAAGATGGAACTATAGAACTGTTTCACAAACACTTCAGAGTGAGAGGAGACGAGGATCTGTCCGTAACCTGTTAAGATGACAAATACGTCAATTTACATCACCCTAGTTGCACCTATTTTATGATTCAGCAATGATGATTTATAGAAACTCTACCCGCCTATAATAACTCGATTTTTTTGAACAGACCCCTTAGGAAATTCGCTGATATCGATTAAAAAGAGATTCTGAAGTGAGCTGATATGATGTTTCCTGCATTTGACGCGCTATCCTAAAGATGGGAAAACGTAAGATCAGATGATAATTATACGACAGCGGGAAGAAAAACGAGAATTGATTCGATCAATAAAGACATTAATCACTCATCGTTATTACTACGTCAACAAGAGTGTCATTTTCAGCTATCAGGTTGTAACGTAGTGAAATAGACTGTACAATAAGGGATCAAAAGGGCGTCAATAAGAAGTCTATTCCTACTAGTTAGTTTCCTTAAATTTCTCACAAGAACATTCACAATACTGAAATATTAGTCTACTGAATAATATAATATAAACTCAAAGACTCACATCACTCACCTGAAAGCAGGTATGGAAAAATTCAAGTATAAAATATTGCGGAATATCCAGAAAAAAAAAACATAGGAAACAGTCCACACGAACTAAAGCTCATAGTGTATATAATACATAATTAGCATTCTGTTACAACTACTTCCTCCTCTTTGCTCATCAGTGGATACTTTTCCACTAGTTAAGGCAAATGAATATATTTTTTTAAGTGAGAAATATGGACCACTCCTCTTTCTTCTTCTGAATCTATTAAAACTAGAAAATAATGTCCTTCACGAAGTATTTTTTCTTAATTTCATGATTTTGTACTGGAGATGTAGGATTTGCTCTCAGAGTACAAAATCCCCAACATCGAGAATCTGAAATTCTAGATCTTTATGAAAAAATGCTCTTTTCTGACTTCGCTTCATCAAATTTTCCCTAGCAGGAAATATTTTGATATGAACATCCAATTGTTCTTGATTAGGAAAATCTAACAAATTTTTCAAAGGTGATACTGATTCCCTACCAAATTTCAACTCAACCGGGGTACATCCAGTCGATTCGTGAGTAAAATTTTTCAGTATCTCAGCAAATCTTGGAACCTCTAAAGCCCCACGTTGGGCGCCAAGTTGTAACGTAAAGGAATATAGACAATAAAGAATATATTTTTTCAAGTGAGAAATATGAATCACTCCTCTTCCTTCTTCTGAATCTATCAAAACTAAAACATATGTTTTTGGGCTCAGTACTTTTTCAACCTTGTATGGTCCTTTACAAAGTATTTTTTTTTAATTTCATGATTTTGTGGTGAATATGTAGGATTTGCTCTCAGAGTACCAAATCCCCAATATCGAAAACCTGAATTTCCCGATCTTTATGGAGAAATGCTCTTTTCTGACTTCGCTTCAACAAATTTTCCCTAGTAGAAAATATTTTGATATGAGCATCCAATTGTTTGTGATTAGGTGAATCTAACAGATTTTTCAAACGTGATACTGATTCCCTACCAAATTGTAACTCGACCGGGGTATATCCAGTTGATTCGTGAGTAACATTATTCAGTATATCAACAAATCTTGGAACCTCTAAACCCCACGTTGGGCGCCAAGTCTCAACGTTAGACTGATAGACTGGTATTTTTCTAATATTTATCAGAACAACAACATTCACAATACTGAAAAATTAGTTCACTGAATAATATATTTCAAATTCAAAGACTCATATCACTAACATGAAAGCAAGTATGGAAATTATTTTCAATAAACAAACTCTGCTTCACCAGAAAGCCTCCAGCAAAGAAATTCAAGTATAGAATATTGTGAAAAAGAATATTTCAATCTATCAAAAAATGAAATTGTTTTCCCCACCCCTAGGAATCAGCCCACACGGCCTAAAGCTCATAGTGTGTGTAAATAATACATATTTAGCATTCTGCTACAAGGCATAGATATTCAGTAGGATCAATCTCAAGCAGACAAAAACTCAGGAATTGATATACTCGATCCATGATGATTGAAACTGAAAAACGAAGAGAATTACACAATTTTGCATGCTTTCGGCATCGACAGATTGATTAACTAATGACACGTGATGTATGTGAATTATTTTCGTTGTGATCACCTGTTCAAATATTTGCGATCACAATATTATTATGAATAAACTTGATATGATATAGCAATAAGTGCTGCCCACAGCGTATAGAGCACATATAAAGCTGTTGAGATCTATTCATTAAATACCATGGAATATTTATTAGGTTGATATAAATAGTTTAATCTATTCATTTTACCTGGCCAACAAATTCGATGGAGTGTATCATAAAACACTCGAAATCATGCCTAGATAACTTTTAAAAAAATATATGATGTTGATTGCTGTGGTTTATTTCAGACAAAGACTAGTGAGCTATAATTCCTTTTGATGTAAATAGAAAACAAGATTCTTGAATAATAAATTTCCTTTCGTTGAAAAATATATGATTCTAGCATTCGAAAGATCACATCTGGATCTTGTGATGACAAAACTGAATGATAAATCCCCAGGTAATGGTGAAAATCTAATATAGATACAAGGTGACTATAGTATCGAAACGTATTCACCAGCTACTTGATAGCTTTGCTGAAATTGTAAAGAAACATGAGATATTATACCGTCCTAGAATAAAATGTGGGCACCACAAGAACTGACTCCTTATTTTCTATTCCACCATAATACCATAAAAGAATAATTTACCCTGATATTCGAGTTCGAATTTATTTGAAAAGTTATTCCATTTCCCTTTCATTGTAAACAAAGTAATTCTCTTATCCTTATTCCGTCCTCTGTTATATATTTTCCACTACTTTATTATTTTATTGGTATCATCATCGAACGACTGGACTTTTAAACAACTACGAATAACAATACATTAGTTAACTTGAATTTTATTGATATTTATTATTACTAATCATCTGAATTCTAATAGCACAGATTATCCAAAATAGTAGCTTTCATCAAGATTGTGGTCACCTCCTACCTTACGAGAATGTGGAGACATTTCGTCAATTTACTTACTCTTTTCTATCGTGAATTCTTTCTCATATCTCATAGATATTCAAGTTCAGTAGGGTCAAGAAAAGTATATAGCTTTATTTTCGTCAAGAAATAACTATTGATTTCACATTGGTCTCGAATAATCCAAATCTCTCAGTTGATCGTTTCTTATTCGTCATCTTCTTCCTCTTCTCTTCCATACGCATCATCGTCGTCATCTTCATCGACCTTGGCAACTTCATACTGCTGATACTCTGATACCAGGTCGATCATATTCGATTCTGCCTCGCTGAATTCACTTTCTTCCATACCTTCCCCCGTATACCAATGCAGGAACGCCTTCCTCCTGAACATCGCAGTGAAGGCTTCGTCTTGAAGAGAAGTAAACAATGAGAAAGGCATCGAAAACGATCTTGATCGAAGAGGTGGCTATGGATTATATAAGAAGCGATGAAATGAACAAGCAGACATTTTGGCATGAGAAGGAGCATCAACGTCACTGATCTTGCCAGGCTCATTCTGAGGCCTTGGACATTCTCATTTCCAAGAACTGAATGAAGCTGAAGAAACAATGGAAGCAACAAACTAGCGAGCACTTCGACGATTGCAGCAGGCGAGGCATCACCCACGAGACGAATTGCCCTGGACAGAATCCAACAGTTTCAGGGTATGTTTGGGTGCTGCACTCCAAATATGGCAGCAGTATTCCAGGACAGGTCGGAACTGTGCCTTATAGACCATAAGCAGCTGTTTGGAAGTGAAAAAGCTCCTGGCCCGAAACAGACAACCAAGTTTTTGGGGTGCACTCTTAGCGATTGATCTCAAGTGATTTTCCCAAGAAAAGTTATTGCTGATAGTAATACCAAGCATCGAAATGGATGTCTTCTAAGGTATGGTTAGGTACTCCTGATAAGCTTATGTTGGGCACAGTGAGATCGGCTTTTCTAGAGAGAAGGCATGATTGTGTTTTGTTTGCATTGAAATCTACCAAGTTACTGGATTCCCATTCGAGAATTCTTGCCAAGTCCATATTTATGTTGTCAACATTTCTCCCTCGTTCGTTTCTGATTTCCCTGGCTGGTAATGGAGCCCTGGAAGAGAAGGCGGTATGGAGGGTACTGTCATCCGCGAATCTGTATACTGGACATGAAGTTGCTTCCAACAAATCGTTGATATGCAGTATTAATAGTGTTGGTGCTAGAATTGATCCTTGCGGAACACCAGCATCAATGATAAGAGAGTCAGATGGAACTCCGTCGACCACTACATAAAGAGACCTGTTTGTGAGAAAACTAGCCAGCGTGGTGCCAGTCTTGATCGAATGCCTTGGAGATATCAACTTCCACGGATAACGTTTCACCATATGTTTTTATAGACTTCTGCCATATATGTAAGACGTAAGCGAGCAGGTCACCAGTTGATCTCTGATGACGAAAGCCATATTGCCTATCGTTGATAACACCTGAATGTTCCAGGTATTTCATGAGCTCGATGTTGATAGCTTTCTCCATGATCTTTGAAATAATAGATAGCAGTGCGATCAGTCTGTAGTTGCTAGGTAGGGTATGCATGAAAATGAGATTTTGCGAATACAGTTTGAACACCGATATTCAGATGGACATAACCTGTCATTCTAGACAAAAACCTCCCATATTGAACAAGAAGTTCTGACGGAAATGATTCCAAAACTTTTGGCTACTTTTTGGTGGGGCGTTAATTTCTTGGAGAAGTGTATAAATACTGACTTATTCTTTTGAAGAGTTCCTGTATGGCAGTGTTGTTCCCGATGAATGTGCCGCATATTTTCAGACCTCTCGGTGGAATGTCACAAACCGCCGTTTTCACATTATTGGGAATCCATTCGACGAAATAGGCGCTGTTCTTGTCTTGGATGTTCACCATTTGCTCGTCTACCTCTCTGGTCGACATACGACCCCGAAAAATTGATGCTGCCGTAAGGTATTTGCCTAGAAATAATTCAAAATTGAAAATTAAGCTATGTGACAGGCAAAAGATACGGGAACGTTCACCCGCCTTTTCTTGGGTCGCAGGCAGCCATGAGATTTTTTGCGTCGAACAGTTGATGCACTAGCTCAGGTACAGTTATCGCTCGATAAGGCATATTTCCTCTGAAAACAAAAACATTCTTTTTTCTAAATACACTCCTCGGAAAAAACCGACCAGTAAAAAATTTTGACAAGTTGATCAACTCTTGTCTGATTCTAGTAAAATTTCGACCAAATCGTAGATTGATATTTCGTAGTGTTAGCCTGAGTTTCAATTCTTGAAAAAAGCTGATGACTCCATTATTATACAGGGAAAAACAAAAGGTACCCTTTCACCACCGAGTTCTTAAGGCTCTGTGGCAAAGGTGACTGGTTGAACTTAGTTCCATCATGTTTCGAATTGAAGTGTGACCCCTTCTTAACACAATGGTTTTTGATTTAAGTCATTATCTTGTTTTTAAGGAGAGATACAGGTGTTTTAAGAAAATATGACATCGTATAACGGTATAACATTCGATTAAAGGAAACGCGTATAATGTTTCACTAATGTCACAACCCATGGCTACAGGGTGGATGACTCGGGGGTGATCTCGCTTGGGAGGTCGTGAAAACAGTTATTCATTATACAGCTACAATTCTTTTAACAAAAAATAGTTTCATTAGTGGTGAAGATAAACAAGATTCATAACAAACGTACAACAAACTTCGCAATACAGAGAATAATTTCATGACTTATTGGTACCATGAAGATGGATACGTTAGTACTTACAAAATTATCTCTAGAAGACGCAGGGGATGAACCATAGTGAGTGCTGGCTGATCAGATACAAACTGTTTGCTGCCTTATCGGCTGTTCGATATTTATGTAGGATATTTTTTGACGTAGTCAGCGTTTTACTCCATTTGCGAGTATTTCATTCCGGTTGACTGGGCGTTTCCTCAGTCGAATGTTATAAGATGAAATAAATAATGAACTTTCCTAATGAAATCTTTTCTTGAATCAATATAATGGGCAAGTTTCCTTCAGATGAATTTTCATAATATAAGTTCGGAACTCTCCAGTTTTATGTCCACACTGTAAAGAATGACGGCCGATGAAGTCCAAGTCGTTTTCATTTTCAAATTGAAACATTTTCAAATTTTCGGAGCGGCAAACTGTGACGTACATTCTGAATCAAGTCTGAAAATATCCGATGGTGAAGAATATATAGCTAACGAATAGCTAACAAATAGCTAACGAATGAAAAACGACTGAAAAAAATAGAAGATGAAAAACTGGTAAACAAAACCAGATATAACCACAAATGCACTCGAAGCAGGAATGCAGAAGGTAGTTGGCTTCATTCTGACAGGTTATGGTTTTGTTATTTACGCATTGAAATATCTCGAATAGAGCTCGATCCTGAACAAAAATATCATTGAATCAATGAATCACTATAGGATACATTCAATGATAACTATCCTTCCTAATTTACTGCCATCGGTCAGAACAGAATGAAGCCGACACCCATGGCTCGTTCCTCTTGTTGTGCCTGTCAGTATCTCGAGTGGTGTGGACGGACTCGAAGTATTAGGTGCTGTTGCAAGATATAATCTGCAACTTTCCTAGGAAATAGATCCGTTTTATTAAGGAACGAAATTATTAACAAAAAAATGACTGACAAGTTATGAATAACATATTGTAATATAACGATAGTGAAAAATTATAGATACTATATTGCAAAATATCATAATTTATCTTCATTATAGTAATCAAATTCATTCATCCAATGAGAGATTCATGGGAGTTATTCATAATACTTGACAAAGTAGGATTGAAGAACCTAATATCCTTTTGCTGTTATGATAGTTATTATGTATTCAAAGAACAATTTTCGGAAATATAGATGATGTCGGCAACGTCGTACTGGCACTGGAAATGTGAATGTGGATTTTCAGAATGTACCTCATATAGGAATGGTGGAGGAGCCAAGTTCCTCTTTTATTTATTTTTTTCAGAGGTGAAATTTGATCTTACGAGAAAAAAAAACGTATATATTAATTTTTTACAAACTTCACAAATGTAGGAAACTTACCCATTTCGAATATAGATAGCTATTGTTCCTATCGTGACAATATCTCGATAGAATACCTTACCTTGATGTGAGTGGAGCAAATCCCGGTATGAAAAAATGCAGCCTGGGAAATGGAACCATGTTGACTTGGATTTTTCTCAAATCGGCATTGAGCTGACCAGGAAAGCGGATGCAAGTGGTTACACCTGCCATTACTGCCGATATCAGGTGGTTCAAGTCACCATACGAAGGGTTTGATAACTTGAGAGTCCTGTAGAATAACGTATACATGGTGTAATTCGATTGATCGCAAAAAATAGAGGATATTGTTCCCTAGCTCAGTCTATGTGATTCTTTCACTTTATCAGGTTGATTTTGATGCCTCATAAAACTTTTTAGTTCTATTTTTGTGAGTTTGATTATCACCTTCCGGTAATTCAAGGGCGTGTGAGCCCTTGTAAAATATGAACCCGATCCTTAAGCGACAAGTGAATAACATGATAAAACAGATGAAAATCCGTCGACCACTACATGGAGAGACCTGTTTGAGAGAAAACTAGCTAGCAGAGAACATAGCCTACAAATACAGTCGCAAATTTCCTTTCAATCCTCTGAAAGCATATGTCTACGATAAACCTACTTGACTGCTACCTAGTCATTTCAATCTATAATTTTGAGATTCTTCGCAAGCCCAAATTGAGTGGAAACAAATGCTTCCAGTGAAATATGCGAACTAAGCTGATGGTGGAATGAAATTTAATAGAAAGTTAAATTATTCAAGGCATTTCCATATTCATATTACTTGAATTCACAAGGAAAGAGGAAACTAATGCAATTTTTATTCAAAGACAATATACTCTCGACATGCAAAACTATATGTATACAGTACAGATTCTCATCAAAACCATTCAAGACTAAACGAAGTATACTCTAAATTCGACCGTTTCTTCACACAGTCATAGATTTACGACTCTTAATCTATGACACAGTAATAAAACTTCCATAATGTTGCTTCTACATTGGTAGAGGTTTTTATGTTGGCAACTTGGAGCGAAGTCCCAGATTCAAAGAATATCAAATTCGCGAAAATGTTTCACCTGTAACAAATGTCGTGCAGAGCTTCGTTATCGATAATATAGGTTTCGTCAGATGTTTCTATCAGACCTGCCACAGCCATCGTGGCATTGTATGGTTCTACGACGGTGTCTGACACTTTTGGGCTCGGTATGACGGTGAAAGTACTGATGATTCTGTCTGGATATTCTTCTCTGATTTTCTCCAAGAGAAGGCAGCCCATGCCAGACCCTGTGCCACCTCCAATGGAATGAACTACTTGGAATCCCTAAAATGAATTTCATTTCTACAGGGTGTATCTGAATAACGCCAAAAAAATTCATGGGGTGATTTGATATCACCTACATTAAATTTGGAGTCAAATCGAATTTTTATTGTTCTCTCGAAAACTAAGCTAGATACGAAGGTCGCACAGGGGATAAAAAAGTTGTTATTTCAAAAGTTCAATTTAATAAAATAAAGAAACTCAGAAAAACCGGTGGCGTACATTGACATTCACCATAAATATCGATAAATTTACCCACTTTGACGCCACTGGAAATATTATTCCGAATGTAATTGCACCAGAAAATGCTCCATATTACTATTAACAAAACCACAACGTTTTGTTGGAACTAATGGAAACACATTTGAGTAATGAATGAAAAAACGATTTTTCATGGAAATATAGTAGGAGTCGCCGGGTTATAGTCCAGCCCCACCCCTCCACTTTTCTCCAAACCACGTGACTCGGCCGACAAATCACAGGCCAGCCTGACTCGGCCAGCTACTCGCGGCCCAGCGAACGGGTCGACGTGACGTCATCATCGGCTGGACTGCGATAGATCCGTTCTAGAGATAACGGCGCGCATTTCATTCCATTTTTTCACTTAACAACGGCTATATACAGGGTGTTTGAGTTGGGTAATAGTTGGGAAAAAAAAAATTAAGGGTGAAACCAAAAAAGGCGTTATACCTCTCCGAAGAGTAGACTACCTACTATAACATGATAAATACAGAGCGTTTGAGTTGGATAGCAATTAAGGAAAAAAAAATATACTGGACGCCTCACCCACTTTTGCGGGATTAGACAGCTGACGTATTACATAAGACATTTGACAGTTAACAAAGGATTGATGACACCTGACTAGATGACCTGCAAGTAGACTACCCGCTACCTAATAATTTAATATACAGAATATTTGAGTTAGCAATAGCGATACAAAAGTATATATAGGGGTCTCACAGGTAGACTCAGCAAACAAACGTATGACAGAGTATCTGTTTGATATACAGGTTGTTTGAATAGCAATACAAACTCACATAGGGCACTCATGGCCTGACGTTTGACATTTTGACAGATGACCAAAAACGCTATCATACATCAATACTAGACAAACGATACAATGTTTTCGAGGTTATGTTCCATTTCAGACATTCGGTATATCAAATTTATTTATTCTTTCTAGTTTTCTGGATTTGTGTGTTGTTATGTAATGGGTAGTATAAAGAAAAAACCCCCAACGGTATGTTTTAACTCGTACAACATATTATATATAATAATATAGTGCCACTGAATGATCAAGACCTCTATGTCATGTCGACATGTTGATATTTGGCAGGATAATCAACACTTAGGAATATTATACATATAGTGACCCCCTAAAAAAAAAAAGGTATTTCTTTTCGAGCCACCCTGTTTAACATTGGCATTTTCAGTTCGGAGAAGATTAGAAGGAAGAGTATTCGAATATTTAATAATTCATGAAAGGTGACTGAAACAGCCCTAGATTACGATTTCCTGCCCCTCGGCGCGATTTCCTGTGTGTTTACATGATAACATTAAGTCGCTCTAGGAGTATTATTATTTCATTTTTTGGTTGGGTTGGATATTTAGGATGATTCAGTGCGATTTCATTGCCAAAAAATCTGTGCGCGTGTGTGTGTATGGGAAAAAAATTACAGAGGTCCCGCGCATGAGAGCTGCAACGTTTCGATACCTGGATTGTCATGTGGTGCCTGTAAAGTTCCAAAATTTGAGTGGAAATGACACAAATTTCATCATCGGAGATATAGGGTCCAAAATGCATGTCCAAGGCTGATTTTTACCAAACACCACCACCAAAGGGAATATATATCCTTCACTAAAACACAACGAGGATGCATGCACTGGCTTCCGCTTGATCGCATCGTTTCGCTTCATGAACTTTTCTCTGGATATACTGTGGTAAGTTGCCTATTTTCTACTTTTTGTTGTACCTCTCACGTTAAATTCCCCACGATTCGTGACAGAGCCCTTGATGCTTTTTTCGAAACAATGTAGTCTGTGATAGGTAGCTAATATATGTGAAAAGACCCGAACACTATAGTTATTGTTTCTTAGCGGTGAATTATAAAAAAAAAACATTGAACAGAGTTGAGAAATTTTGTAAAACGCGTAACAGGAATGTTGGGGTAAAGAAAAAAAACAAACATTTCAAGGAATCTGTGTATAGTAATTCGATGTACAGGGTGTTTCGTAAAACATTAGGATTTTCAGTTTCATATTTTGCTAGATTTTCGGCTGACGAAAGAGTATACATCTGAAATAGGATTCTATTCATACACAGGGTGTTTCATACATCATTAAGATTTTCAGTTTTGAATTTTCAGCTTACTATAGTAGGAATTTTATTTTCATAGAGGATTGTCTTCGTAGTAGGGAGATTAAAGACAATAGATTTCAACTGATTGTTCACAATAATTGTTGCAACTGTCATCTTTGAGAATCATTCCATTAGTTTAGGGTCTTCAGAAAAAAAAAGTTTATCAATTCCAAATTATAATGTATATAGGGTGTTTGACTGTCTGTTTTGAAAAATATGCAGAGCATTTAGAAAAAAAAAAGTTTTTAAATCAAATAATTGAGTATAATGGATGTTTTCGGTTGTCTGTTTGATGAAAAATATACAGGGTCTTTTGAAAAAAAAGTTTCTCAATTTCAAATTACAAAGTATAATGGATGTTTTGGCTGTCTATTTGAGGAAAAATATACAGGGTCTATAGAAAAAGTCATTCAATTTCAAATTATGAAGTATACAGGGCGTTGGACAGGCTGATTTGAAAAATATACAGAGCATCTATCAAATATTTTATTGACAAACGAGATAATCACAATCTATATCATTTTATATTTTTTTCTTGAAACAATCTTCACAACATGCTGTGAGAATCCCTTTTCTATCAGTGGTGTAGTCTTCGATCACATGACGAACCCCCTCTTTGCGGCAGAAAGAGCAGAAAATAGGTTTGCAGTCACTGCAATTGCATGGTCTACCCCAGGCACAGTTTGGCATTGCTGATTACGTCTGTACTGTTGGAGAGCTGCCGAAATACTGAAGTCATACATTGATATTAACCAGTTCGTATAAGTCCTAAAACATAGTATGAATAGCTTTGTTTCCACACCACCCTCGGGGTAAAAGCCTTTTGGCGCGTTTTGCTTTTTTTCTTTGTTCTGAATGTAGATAAAAGCATTCCCCTTTAGGCCTATACAAAACCACATACACTCTGAAGATTGGGGGTGAATAATTCATTATAGAACAGATGACTGTTGATATATGAAATCAGAGCAGTTTTTGTTCGTTCTATATCTAGCTGCACGAAGATCGATTTCTAAATCAATAGAAACACTTCATCAATTTGCCAGATAATACCCATTGTTTTTTTCTTCAGTAGAACAGGTGACTGTTGAAATATGAAATCAGAGCAGTTTTCGTTTGTTCTATTTGTAGCTGCACGAAGATCAATTTTTAACTTAATAAAAACACTTCATTAGTTCGCTACAAGGTTAGGGCCTTTTTTTTTCTCTCATTGAACCATTTACCTCAAATTTTTAGAGTAGCCGTGAAAACGGCTGATTTGATCAAGAATTCATTGTATAGATCCGGTCGTGGTAACGATTGCTTTTACTTTCTCTCTCTCGAGCTTTGTGCCGGATATTTTTAATCGAATTTTACACAGAACGCTGATAAAAAACTTCAATCGCAATTCGTTCATCACTGTCTGATAAAGAGAAAAAAAAGGAATGACGATGCTGTGATTCATAGAATATTTATAATGATTTCCTCTTTTTGAAACCGTAAGGTACAGAAGTGTGATCTTCGAGAAATTTCCGCTTCAAACTTACAGGATCGTACTTTTTGGTCACATCAACTGTGATGACCTCATGTTCCTTGGTTCGACGAAACTGTTTGCTTAAAATTTCGACAGGGGAACCAGGGTTCAGAATCATATCTTTAATTGATCCAAAATTCACAAGCTGTGAAGCAGCATAGTTAAGGGAGAGGCCTTTAACTTTGCACACAACTTTGAACTCTTTATCCTTGGTTGCCCATAGCTTGTAAGCATAATTTTTGGGGCCACCAGATACAAACTCTGTGATATGGGAACCAGGACCGTAACATTCCATTTCATCGGTCATATCACCAATAAATTGACCAGTGGGAATGTCGAATTCCCCTTGTCTGGAAACATAGATAACCAAGTCTGTGTCGTAGTATAACACCCTTTCCCCAAGCTGCTGTAAATAGCTGTAAAGTTTCAACCGAGCTAAGGCTGTTACATATGCAGCAATTACAACATTGACTGTGGAAAGAGTGTCATAGCTCTCCTCCTTATACTCCCAATTAACAATGATGGTATCTTCGTTTATCGGGAGTACTGTATTGACAATAAGGGAAGGATCAGTCATCATCGAAAAGAATTCCGAGGGCTGATTGATTATAGAAGTTTTCGGCTGGTTTTCACGCTGACCAAACTTACCCCAGAAGGAATTCAGCATAAGCTTGGCCAGTGCTCTCAAGCCAGGGTTATCGGTGATTTTAGAAAATTCCAGCAAAACATCCTCCCGTTGTAAAAACTCATCAATATACCTCTCTTTTTCCTCTTTGGTCTTACAATGCTTTGGCCAATCTGATGACTCCTGTTTTATCTTGATGAATTTATTCGTCATGTCTGTGAATAGCCCCGAAACATCTTCACCAAATTGCACATTATCGTAAGACCAAATCTCTTTGATCTCGATAATTCGATAGCCCACCTCAAGGGCTTTTAATATCTCTTCAACGGTCCATGTTCCTGTCAATGTTCGTTCTTCATCAGTGTGATGACAACTACTAGTATTATAGTTTTCACCACATACACGACAAAGAACAAACATCAGCTTGTTGTTCATTTTCTGTGATAAAACAGGATGAAAAAGAT